GCTGAAGCCTTCACACCACCCGTGCTCTCATCGTAACACTTCTGTCCTCCTTCCCGCGGCTATTCCAGCATGTTCGGGCTGTTGCTATGATCTTGTCTGGTTTTCACTTCTCTGCTGAGCTCTCTCTACTCTAGCTCAGGCATGGGTCACCTTCTCCCCTAACTCACACCAGCTTCTTGTCTTTTAGGGTGGTCCATATGTACCGTAGGTCTCTACGTGCCTGTACTGTCCCTTTATTTCCCCTAACACAAGTAATTTTCCCTTTTCTCTGCCCTCTGGTTCCATATTTGTCAAGGTGTGGGCTTCACTGGCACGTCTATTTTGGTTTGACTTTTATCCCTCTGTATTCAAGTGGTAAGATTCCCACTCTTGTTTTTATTATCTCACTCCCTGTTGGTCAGAGCCAGCACACCAGGGACAGGAGTGGTTTCGTTTGGGCTGGAGTTCTAAGGGTTTTGTGAATGTTGGAGAACTATGGGTTTGGTTTTTTAAATGTGTAACCAAATCTGCTCAGACTTTCTTGAGGAAAGGAAAAGGAATTTTCCATGCAGAAGCCAGCCCACATGCAAATGTTCAGCCCACATCGGGGAACGTGGATGTTCTGGAGAGCTTCCGAGTGAAGGCACCAAAGTCTTAAAAAAAGGTGTTATTTTCTAGCTTCATCTGGAAATGGCTGGAACCGTGTTGGACAGAATTCTCTGTGAAAATCACTTGCAGCATACCCTGTAGAAGTGGCAGTTTAAAATGGTGCAAATAAAACCAACAAGATGGGCCTTACCAGAGGCAGCCCTCAGCAGGTCTGGGCTGTCTCTCACATGCGCTGCAGAGGATCAGGCTCTGAACTTCACAACCACCGCTGGTTCTGCTGGTTCAGCCCTTACCATTAGAAGCAGCTCGAAGGTGGTTGCAACAGCGCTTCGGTTGGAGATGGCCTGTGTTTACATAGGAAAACCAGATCCAGAAACTAGGAATACATGTTCTTTTCCAAAGTGCTGGGGTGAAATGATCATTTATTGCTGTGGATTTATACCCATGTATGGCTTAATTTGCACAGCTTCTTTGGTAATAATATCCCAATAGAAAACTCTGTGATGATACTGGAAATGAAGCTCTTGTAGAACTCCATGCAGGCTGCAGGGAATGTGACAGTAATGAAAACAGTATGGAATACGAGCGTGTTTTAAGAGTCAATTTTAAAGGTTAGGGTAATTGTGCAAGAAACTTGGCTTCAGAAACGTGTAAGGCAAGAAATCCTGACCTAGTCAAATAGGCCGTGAAAAATCCATACAGCTTCCCTTCTGCTTTACAGAAGTCAGTGTTTAACTCTTTCAGAGTCTGTGTGCAGAGCTGGGATATCTGAGGTTAAAGGCAATCCGTTTCTTGCAGTTAGGAGTATTACGTTTGCCAGTATCCCATAGATCTTAATTTAAAGTATTTCTATGCCTTTTTTTCCCTGTAGCCCTGGAATGAGATCAGATGTAAGCTCTTCTCCATCCACAACCTCAGCAACTACGGGACCACCTCCCAAGCTCTGTCTTGTCTGCTCTGACGAGGCCTCGGGGTGTCATTATGGGGTTCTTACTTGTGGCAGCTGCAAAGTGTTCTTCAAGAGAGCTGTGGAAGGTAAGACATGGCGTGAGGAATTTCCTGTTTAAAAGTAGGAAATCCACATCCCAAACCAGTCTACTTAATCTGACTGGAATCCGTGCTTTTGCTAGGATCCTGCTGGAAAATCCCATCCATTATATCACTGATCTTTTCATAGTAAATAACATTGATAATGGTGTATCATCTGAAGCATAGATTCCATTTACATTTATAAAATGCTCCCATTCACTCACAGAGTAAAAGGATGTTTTGTTGTCTTGGCTTTTTGTTTCTGTCGTTTTCTTTCACTGTTGTTTTTGTTTATTTGCCCTGTTTATATACAGATATCTGTCTGTGTGATTAGATCTGTCGAGTTTGTGAGTTTCACATTCGATGTTAGCTGGTTTGTGTGTAAAACTGGACGTGAAACTTGATGCGTCTGTTGTATGTGAGGTTACGGTAGTTTCTCAGTTTCTGCTGTGAGCAGTATTGGTTAAATTACATACATGTCCATGCATGTTATTTGCAGGGGTAACGAGGTAACAGGAGCATGTGTGTGGCTTTGGGTTATTGAGATTTCTGGCTAATCACAGGAAGAAAATAATTCTGGAAAACAGAGATGATGGAAAGCTAATGGTGTGTCTGTCGTGTGTACTGCAGGATAAGTAATTGTGAGTTTGGGGCAGCGCGATGACGCTGGGTTGTACCTCAGGCACTATTCACTTCAGTGTCAGAGAGGTGCAGAACAGTGTAATTACATACTGAGCACATTCGCAGTGTCTCTGGTCGCAGTTCCTGCCTCGTGAAGTGGCGCCGTTCTCGGTTACAGCCTTCCAGGCGTTCCTGTCCCGTGCCTCCTTCATGCAGCGTTACTGGGGACTTGGAAGTGAATCAGACACTCGTTTTCTGCTGGTGATTTCACACGCTGGGTTTCACTGGAGACCAGGTTGTGTTGACAAAGACGAGCCACGGTTCAGTCCTTCAGGAGCAGCACTTCCTCCCAGTTCCCAGCCCACTGGATGCAGCAGGGAGCTGTGTGGAGGTGCAGAGCCTCTTGGAGGGATCGGAAGCGTTGACTTCTTATCGCAGTTGTTGCTAGTCACCAGGGGAAGGGATGGCAGTTCTGTGGGAGGCAGAGCCTGTTCCTGGAGGGTAACAGGAGACAGTATGAGCTCCAGTGCAGGGCACTGGGCTGCGTGGGCTCACCGTGACTCCCAGCTGGTCCTGTGTGAAGTTGCGCTCCTATTTAGAGCCAGGCTCTTTAGCTGAAGCAAATAGTCATCTGTATCCTTAATGGAAATAGGTCACTGGGTATCCCTCAGGAGTATGGCAACTGGGTATACATCATAGCCTTGGTTTTGCACATCCTTAAACAAATCACAGAAGTACCAATACATGAAGAAATCAACCCAGTGATTCTTTTTGATCAGTGATGCAACTTGCTACATCTTATATCAGCTGAATTAACGTTAAAAATGGAAGAAGGCTTGTAGCTGAGAAACTGCAATCAATTCCTCAAGGCTTACCTCTGCTTTCATTTTTAATTGTTTCATAGATTATCCCAACCTTAATCCTTCTGATTAAATCACAGAATCCCAGACTGGTTTGTATTGGAAGGACGTTAAAGCTCCTCCAGTTGCAACCCCCTGCTATGCGCAGGGACACCTTCCACTAGACCAGGTTTCTCCAAGCCCTGTCCAACCTGGCATGATACTGTACATGTTTTCAGGAGCCATTCCAGGATCTGTTAGCTCTAGAATTCACTTTAAGGAACAAATAATTTGCTTTGTCTCTTACAGGCATTTTTCTTATTAGGAACATATGTAAAAGGAATTTGTTTCTGCAATATCCTTTTTACTAATAGCTGCCAGGCACCTGTCGGTACATACATCAAGCTGGCTCTGCACACTGGTCATCCAGCCTTTAGCGTGAAACCCTGTTTTGTACCTTTGTCTACACACGTGTGCTGTGACAGAAACAGTCACAGAAACTGAAAGTACCAGTATTTAGAAAATCAATATAGTGTATTTCTTTCAGCAAAGAGTAGAACCAGAGAAGAGGAAGGTTGAAGGTGGGATGTCAGCTGTATATTTATATGCAGCTCTTCATGCAAACGGGCTGTGTTCAGGAGCCCCAGGTGGCCAAAGCCATCTTGTTCTAGTTCTTATTTTTGTGGTGGTTCAGAGCCTTCATCCCAGAAGCAGCCCCGTTCGCTCCCCAACAACCGCGATCCTCCCCACCTCCGCTTCCTCGCCTTGCTTCACATCCTCACACCTTCCCTTCCCTTCGGCTTCCCAACACCTCTGCCTCCTGCTGTGCTCCAGATCATCCTTCTTCTTCAGCATTTCTAATTCCATCTTCCAAAGCCGGCAGTTTCTAACCTTTTATACGCCATCGTGCTCAAATGTGCAAAGACTCGTTCAGTCTCGCAGGGCTTCAGAGCCCCTGGCACTGACTGGTGCAACTCTGAAGAGTGTCCAGCCGCTGTAAAATGCCCCTGTCTCCTGTAAGTACCCTTGGAAGCACCTCCAGTTGCTCACTGCCAGTTTTTACCAGTGAAGTGTCTGGGTTTTGAGCAGTAAAGATAATTCCTTCTTGCAGCTGGCCTGTTTGTTATCTGGGCAGCAGCCAGACACAGAGCAGAAAGTGGCATCAACTTCCCTTTATTTTCCCACAAAGCCTTCGTGTGACAAGAAGGCTTTAATAGATGTAATACAAAGAAATAGTGTAGCTTTCACCTAAAAAAAAAAAGGCAAGAATAGGCAAGTAGTAAATACAAGAAACCAAACAGCACCTTCACAGAGATGAAGCTCTTTGTTAGGAGAAAAATGGAACAGCTCGGGAAATTCACCCCCGAAGCAACTGCATTGACTGTGTGAAGCGTGGTCTCATTGAACATCTTGTGAGACACGAAATTGCAGTCTCCGTTTGACTGCAGCGTGACAGTCATTGGTTTGTATTTCACATGCGTGTGTATGTTCTGTATGTACAAGTATGCAAATAGGAAACAGAATCGTGAATCATGGGTCTATTTTCTGACTTGTCTTAAACACAAAGATTACACAAGGGTCAGGAAGGGTTCCTCTTCTTCGCAGGAAAAGGGAAGGGGGGTCATTCATAAAGACATCGAGTGCTTCCTTGGAATGTCAACTTGAAACACTTCCCTGGAGAAGGCTAACTAAAGCCATAGTAATGGACTCTGCCTACCCATCAGTTTCACAGCTGACTTGAAACAAATCCCTTCACCAAGCTCTTCTGTGAGAAGACTCTCAGACTCCATTGTTGATAACTCAGTATTGGGAAAACATGCCTGTTCCTTACAATATTATACTATCAGGACTTTGAAATACAGTGAACAGCCTAGGCTGCAGCTTTGCACCCTCTAAAGCAACATGTTTCTTGATCTGTGTGTGAGAGAAGGATGTATCTTTCAGTAATACCTTTCTCTACGTAAGTTCTGTTGAAACATTTATTCATACGACTTAAAAAATTAAGAATAGATACTCCTCCCCTGTTGCCCCGCTCTCATCAGCTAAGAAATACAGTTTAATTTGTGTAGTTCAAGCTTTGCCGTGTTTCCGGGGTCAGTTTTCCTCTGAGCTGTGAATCCATGGAAATGTCAGAGAACTTGGTTTGCCCAGCTCAGACTCTTAACTTAAACAAAGAGGAGGCCTCATGACTTTGAAAATGCTGCAAGCTTGGTCTGTGTGTCTGTAGAAATGGCTACGTGTACACTTCCAAAATGTGGTCATGAGCGCTGTTTACATCTTTTGTGGAACTGTTTAGGGAAATTGGAAACAATATCGCTGTGCAAGATGGGAGGTGAGGATGTGGAAGTAAGAGAAAAATGGATTTAAGAACAGAATTTGCCTGATGTTAACAAATAGAAAACAGGATTTCTACCTAAAATTATTGGCTTTGGTGGCTAAATATGAGAAATATGTTTGGCGTATAGATGCATGAAATCATATGGGTACTGATGTTATTTTGGCAAGAAATGGGATACAATAAGTAAAGTTGTTCTGTAGTCCCCAGCTGTTTAACATTACCGAGAGAGACGGAATGCCTTCCTGTGCTGCTCTGAGCTGATGGTTCTTTCCGTGTGCTTGTGAACAGGGCAGCACAACTACCTGTGTGCTGGGAGGAATGACTGCATCATCGACAAAATTCGGAGGAAAAACTGCCCAGCGTGCCGCTACCGCAAGTGTCTCCAGGCGGGAATGAACCTCGAAGGTACCTTATGCTCAAATCCCATTCTTATGTTTGAGTCTTAGACAATAAAAATGTGATGCTGCTTATGAGGCAATTACCTGAGCAGCACTTTAACATGTTAAAAGTACTGGGGTTTATGGCGTGTGTGAGGAGTTTAATGAAAAGCAGGAGGTTTCAGCGCTGCCGTTTCTCCTGTCCTTTCCTCTCGCACTCAGCTGCTCGCTCTCGGGCTGTTCAGCAGAAGTGAGTCATACCCGCAGAGCAGGGTTATTTTTCATTCCTGTCAGCACATACATCTTGGTGCCTTTTCACTGACTGTGAGACAGCAGAACTCCGGGAGATCACCTGTAGGAAAGCGTGATGCCGGCTTGTCCTGCCGCAGGAGAGTAACCTGGCACCAAAACCATGGCGGAGAGGGAAAGCCCAGAGCCACAGACCTAACTTGGATGGGTCCTAGATAGTCAGACAGAAGAGAAGCGGTTTTGTTCATGCTGGGGACCCTTCTTAAATCTCTCTAGAAAAGATAGACTAAATAAATAAATTTAAATGTATTTGTTCTCTGCCAAGTCCTGAATGGCTTATGAGAAACTGAAGACCATCAACTAGAGATTTAGTAGCAGTTGTAAAGTGGCATAAAACATTTTTATTAGTGTCAGCTATGTTTTATTCTTGATATTTTTCATTGAGCTGCAGAGATTAATACAGTTCTTAACAGCAGAGTTATCATGGTTATACTGGTATAATCAAAGTTGTCAGATAAAATAAAAATGTCAGAAATGTATTTGTGGGATAGATGTGAATAGAGCTTCATTCAGTCAGTGATAATATCCTTTGGTAGAGTCTAAGTGGTGAATTATGTTAAAGAGATGGAAGATACATATAATTTTTATTTTGAGGTGGAAAAGAATACATTTTAGTTTAAGAGTTGTTTCTATTTTTTCTCACCATAGTTGTTTTCAAAATACAGATATTCATGTCTATAGATTCATATATCTATATTATATATATGATACATATATATAAAAATATAGAGAATTTTCATATATCTTCATGTAGATTCATTTATCTATATGAACAAAGCACTTTATAATGTATGTTACTCCAAAAGTAAGCCCTTCCATTCCTTTCAAAGCACTTTATAATGTATATTACTCCAAAAGTAAGCCCTTCCATTCCAATGGTAAGCATCAGTTTATGGGAATTCATTTTAAAGCAGACCCCAACAGAGCTCTCTTGGGCTCTAGGACGAGTTCTTTGAGTTCCTTTCTTCACTGGAGAAAATGGAAGTTGAATGACGTCTGATACTTGCCACTTTTCCACATGAAGTCTGGAGCCCTTCCAGCTATAGTTTGTGTGCCTGAATTCTGGCACAGAGGATCCCACAGAACACTGACTTTTTGGAGGGTGGATGTCGTTACATAAGTTGTTGGAAAAGGCAGAGCAGAGCTTTTGTGACTGAGAGGGAAAAGGATCTAGAAACTCGGCAACACAGAAATGGAAGAACCCAAGATAGTGTGAAACAGTGAAAAACAAGCATGAAAACAAGGATTTATTGGACAGAGCTGAACAGATGGTGATTTGGTTGTAATTCCAGAAGAACTCTCAGGAAAAAAAACCCTGGAAGGCAGCATAAAGCGCAGAAGAAACTAAAGAGAAGTTCCTTTCGCCTTGTCTGTTTCAGGGTCACTGTTCAGGAATTATTGGTATTTCAAAGCTAATTAAACGGGCATACTTTTTCGACAGTAATTTCTTTTTGGCCAGTCATCAGATGTATCCTCAGTGCATAAATAATAGTTATCAGCAAACCAGTTAAGGAATGGTGAGAGATCAGATTCTCCCAGCACGGCCCTTGCGCTTGCCCCTGCTTGCTGGTAGGCTTCTTCCAGGAATCTGTTCAGGCACATTGGGAATAGCTCTTGGTTTCGAACACCTGCGGTGAGTTTCACAGTTAGGTGTCGGGTAGAAGGCTAACTTACTTGTAAATAACTAAATACATACACAAAATCTACCACGCAGTGTTTTAATTCTGACCTGCTCTTGTGCTGAGACAAAAGTGGTTCCTTCTGCATTAGAAACATGCTACTTGACCACTTTCTCTTATGGTCTGTTTTCTCATCAGTCATACCTCTGGCCCTACTTATCAACCTTTCCTGGAATGTGCTTATTTCTATTGCATAGGGTCTTGGGTGTAGGGGACTGGAAGAACATACAACTATCAAGCTTGCAGGTACCAGAGATTTACACAGAGAATAATGGTATTTTGTACTGCAGCTTCTGTTTCTTTGAATTCTTATTTCTACTTCCCTCGTTAATTGACCCTGGGTATTCCTTGGCACCCGTCCTCTTTCTGATGTGTTTGAAGACAAGATTTATTGTTAGGTTTTATGCCTGTAAAAAGTCATCTCTTAATTGTCTTTGGCCTTTCAGACTGCAATTTATAGTTAAACTGTTGGCAGTTTATGGGTTTGCTCTGCCATCTTCATTTTGAGTTTATTCTCTTCTCCTTTCTACCCAGACTCATTGCCCTGCCCTGTGCCTGCTGTGGGTTTGTCATCGTAAGCCCCATTTTAGAAGTGAGGTGCATGGTCTCTGTGTCTGATCTCCAGCACCATGGTGGGGGTGTTTCACAGAAAATCTTGGATGCTTTCATTCCCATGGCGAATTTCTCTGTAGGGATTAATCTTCTGTGATTTGCCCTAAGGACCTGGTTTTAAATGTGTGGTGGTGTTATATCTGAAAATAAACTGTAAAGTAACACATTATCTCAACTTCCTTCTTTTGTGAGTTACAATTAGATATCTAAGTCAGGTCTATTAGCCTAATAAAAATTCTTGCATAATACTTTGTCTTATCAGATAGATTTCATTTGATTATCATTTCAGCAGACTTTCGGGGCTGGAAATACTCCATACCAGGTGTCTGCATTAAGCTGAAGGCATGTGCCTGGAAATTTAAGTCAAAGCTGTTTGTTTGCTTTTGGGAACAAGGATATTGAGGCAAAAAATGCCAGAATGTAGAAAGGATTCTGGAGCAGCCGTTTAAAAATCTGATGAGACCAACGAGAAGCATTTTGCTTCAAGGAAGTAACTGTTGCTGTTCCCCTATGTCAGTCTTGGCAGTCGTGGCCTTTGGGAAAATGCGATTTATACAAGGCCCATGGAGAATTTTGTGTCTTTACCAGTTAGTTTTGAAGTCCCTGTCCTGGATAGTGGGAGAAATGGGCTCAGGACAGGGATTTGAGATGTTTTTAAGCTACAGAGTTGGGGCGTTTCTGATGATTGGAGATTTTGAATAGGTCAGTAGAAACTTTGCGAAGCCGCATGACATGATGCTTCTGTGTGCGACTGACTGGTCTCAGAAGTTCCAGAACAGAAACCAATTAACTGATTGAGGCACAGAAAGAGAACTGGGATTCATCCTGGTCTGTGTTCACAGCACGCTCAGGGTAGCGGATACACCCAGGATTGCTCACAGCCAAGTAGGAGATCCCGTTATTGACAATACACTAATAAAATTGTTTCTTCAACTTTCTGTAGTTTACAGTTAACATCTCTGTGTGATGGTTTATTTATTTGGCGAGTGAGTTTTATGGTTTAATTACACAGCAATAATTTACATGCAAGAGAGCTGGCAAGAGAAGAATCTGCTCCTGCCCAGCACTGAAAAAACACTGGTTTCCCTGGCTTGAGACATTGAGTAACTTCTTACCCATTAAATACATACATTTTTTCCTTTCTTCTGTGTGGTTTCTATACCTAATACTTTAAGGCACTTACAAGGTGCACAGTCCTGCAAACACCTCCAGATGGGTGTCGTGCTGTCACAGGGCGTTTCACTGATATTTGACAAATTCATGATAGAAATTGTAGGATCAGGGCTTGTCTTTAAGGATAAGCCTTGATGATGCCTGCAGATGTTGTTTAACTTTTTGAAACATGGACATAAATGTGACTTTCACTGAGACATCACATTTATGTGACAAAACTTATTTTCACAGGAAGTTTAATTAGAGTTAATGTAAAATGATTTACAGCCTTATGAAGAGGTGGTTTAGAAGTTTCGATTGCCTGATGTGCAATTGCAAGAGAGTGGCAGCAGCATTTCCTCTGTGCTCTTTTTATTGCTGTGCAGTGACTTTCCATGAGCTAACCTGTGCCTTACCAAAACTTCCCTAGCTCGAAAAACCAAGAAGAAGATAAAAGGAATCCAGCAGGCGGGTGCAGCGGGAGCACGGGATGCTTCGGAAACGCCTGGAAACAAGAGCGTTGTCCCCGCGTCGCTGCCACAGCTGACCCCAACCCTGGTGTCTCTGTTGGAGGTGATTGAGCCGGAGGTGCTGTACTCGGGCTACGACAGCACACTGCCTGACTCCAGCTGGCGCATCCTCTCCACTCTCAACATGCTGGGAGGGCGGCAGGTTGTGGCTGCAGTGAAGTGGGCGAAGGCAATACCAGGTAACACACAAATACATTTCCTCCTGCGCTGGGCACTCGTGAGGCTGCACCTCGAATCCTGTGTCAGTTCTGGGCCCCTCACTGCAAGAGAGACATTGAGGTGCTGGAGCAGGGCCAGAGAAGGGCACCGGAGCTGGAGCAGGGCCTGGAGCACAAGTGTGATGGGGAAGGGCTGAGGGACCTGGGGGGTTTAGTGTGGAGAAGAGAAGGCTCAGGGGGGACCTGATCGCTCTCTGCAACTGCCTGACAGGAGGATGGAGCCAGGAGGGGGCTGGTCTCTGCTCCCAAGGAACAAGGGGTGGGACAAGAGGAAATGGCCTCAAGCTGCACCAGGGGAGGTTTAGATGGAGCTGAGGAACAATTCCTTGCCCAGAGGGTGCTCAGGCATTGGAACAGGCTGCCCAGGGCAGGGCTAGAGTCACCGTCCCTGCAAGAGTTCACACCCCGTGTAGACACACTGGTGGTGTTGTACTGGCTGGTCTGGATCTGCATCATGGATGGTTCTTTTTTTACTGCCCCTCACCGTAACTGTAGGCTTTTGTTGACTGGGAATAGGCATTCGAGTGTCCAGTTCCAGGGTGGAAGTCAGGACATTCATTGTCTCTCAAGCACTGTAGCCACACGATTAAGCTGACTGTCACCAGGGAAACGGGGAAGGTCTGCGGCTGTTTTGGCTCCCACCTTAAGACACACTTAGCAAGTGCCTCGGAGAAGTAGTGATGTCAGATCCTGGCCTTGGACGTGGCACATGCCATCCCATGGTACACTCTTGGGATAGGCCAGGGCTGAAGGTGAAGCTGAGGGTCTCTTTATTTATTCCTGACAGAACGAAGACTAGTGTTTTTCTCCCTTCCACTTCTGCTCGATACCATTAACTACCTGCTTTCGAAACCCCAGCATAACCATCTCCGTAATGCGGATGGTGCCCAAGAATAACATCACTTAGCAGGGCTGCCAAAAAAAAAAGCCCAATAATGGAATTCATGAGTCATAATGGTGTCTCCTTTGAGGCAGGGGAAATAAATTAACCGTAGGGAAGAAAGGCTGGTAAATTCAAATATACATGTCCAGCAGAGCTGGGAATAGAGGGATTTGTGTGTCCTTCAGGGCTTTTCTGCAGTGGGGGATTGTGGTGAGTTAGCCTGCATTAGGAGAAGTTCACACGCATGCACTTTCTTCTGGGACGAGTCTTTAGGAGACCATCTGGTACTCACAAATACAGATTTAGATGCTGTTTTTATACAACAGTTCTGTGTTCATCATCTCTTCGAACAGTTTCCCTAATTAGAGAAACCCTTCAGGTTGGAACATATGCTCTGAATGTAAATGCCAACCTTCTTTTTAATAATCACACTAATAGGAACTATTCCTGTCCCTTTTTATCTGCTTTTTTCGTTTGTTAAGGTGGTTCTTCATGAGTATTTAATTTGTATATACTGCTGCTGTTGTACACCTTCAGGCATGCTAGCAGTGAGCCAGCACTGCCTGCCAAACCCTTTAGCTGGGATTTCAAAATCATGAAATAACTTTGAAACACTTTGCCTCTGTTTTAGAAGTAGTAAATTGTACTTGATGCTGTCTCCAAAAGCAGAAGCTGTTCTTGGTTAGACATACCAGGTTTTTTTATATATTAAACTACTGTGTGCCATCCATTGGCACATCTTCAGGCAGCAGTGCTGCTTTGAGCTCTTTAGATGTCAGATGCTTAATAAAATTAAATAAAATCAACTGAATTTAGACTTTAATGATGATTCAGTATGGCACAAACGTGTCTTGCTAAATGTAGGCAGGATCTAATAGGAACTAGTGCTGCACATTAAAAGCTGTCTACATTTTAAGACTATTTAAGGGACCAGTTTTGAGATTTTACACATTTCCTCACTGATTAATTGGCTCTGCTCATGCTGCAGTGTAAGATTAGAAGCAGTTACTGATGGTAACCAATGCAATACATATTTTGTAAGTTCAGTGTAGAATTGTTGAAGAAGAACAAAAATTGACATTAAACCTCTTAGTGCCTAGTGGGCTGCACTTACAAAAGTCAAAAATACTGTGATTTTTGGAAGATGGCGCAATGAATTATAGTGTATGTGAAATATAGTTGTTGGCTTTTGTAATCCAGCTAACTGCCCATGGGTTCCAGATCAGCACACATATATTCTGGTTAATTTTATATATTACATCCCCTTTTACTACCTGTAGTACATATCAGAGTACCCATCTGGTACTCTGTCCATCCAGAACGTAACTAATATCACGGTTGTAAGAGCCCAGGACTCACGGTGTGCATGTGCTTTGGTAGATGGTGAATTTACAGTATAATGCAGAGTTCAAGAGTTGCTCTTGCTGTTGCTTTCTCTTGCCTGTTTTTCTGTTAGGTATGTTTTGTGCAGTTGACAGTCACACATTCAAACCAGTGCAAGGTTGAGTGATATAGGAGCTTTCAACTGAAACCTTCCAGGTCTCATGCGTATTGCCACTGTCCAGAAGACGTAACTAGTCCTTAAACGCTTAAGTTCTACATCTGCAAAATTTTGCACAGGCAGAGGACTCCTTAATGGTGTGCTGAGTGTCTGGATGTAACCTCAGTAGCTGGAAAACACCACTGAAATTTTGCACCCCTTTTAAAATGCACTTTTTTTGTCCAGCAAGAACTTTCTCCTAAGCAGCCTCTTACTGTTCTCAATTTCTTCTTTTCTTCCACCAAAAATCTCATCTAAAATACGTGACTGACTCAGATGGTCATAATATGGCAGGAAAGGCTGTTATTGCAGGTACAGAAATACCCTTTTAAAAGTGGTAGCCTATGTTGGTAAGTCAGGAGCTGTATGGATGGTAACCACAGTCCTTTTCCAAGTCACGGGAGTTTATTTCTTCTTCTTTACTCTCACACCTATTCCTATTTTCCAGGTTTCCGAAACTTACATCTGGATGACCAAATGACCCTTCTGCAGTATTCATGGATGTTCCTAATGGCTTTTGCCTTAGGATGGAGATCATACAAACAATCAAATGGGAATCTCCTGTGCTTTGCCCCAGACCTGATTATTAACGAGTAAGTAAGACCTGACACAGTGCTTCTAGAGTTCGCACTGGGTAGCAATTCCTGCAGAGATCACAGATCAATCTGTCATTTGCAAGGTGGTTTTGGTTTAGGAGCTTGCTTAACATTTTTAAATAAGTCAAATGCAAGAAGGTGGTTTGGATATTAGGTGTATCTGTATCAAGTTTTTGTGGGAGGTGTTTGTACTAAAATATCCCATATTGTGACTGTTCCTGCACCAGGCATTATAATAACTCATTGTATCAGAGACCACATAGCTGAAGCTTTCTGCGATGGAGAGCGAAGTCTGGCAGATTGCATGGTGTTCAGTATCTTTATTGTATGAAAGTGATGGTCCTGCCAGGTTCACAGCATTCTTCATCAGTTAAACATTTGTATCTGAACCTGATTAAAATCTGGCTAGAAAGACAAGGTTACAAATGGAAAAACTTGTCTGATTTGTGTTTTATTGTTGAACTTTGTTAGCACGTTTCAAGAAGAGTTGAATTTTTTAGAATCTTTGGACATCTTTTTTCTTGCACTGCGCATCAGTTTCCCTTGCATTTCTCAAATCCGTGCTGTGCAGTAATTCTGTGTTGTAGAGGAGGGAAAAAGGGAATTCGGGATTGCTCAGGTGAGGGGCAGCAGGCTTTATTGGAGATGCAGTGGGGATAAACATTTTGCACAGGAATATGCATCCGCGTATTACTTCGCGTATATTTCAAAGGTGTAGCAGCAGAATGGGTTAGGTGATGGTGATGCCTTTCTGCCTCCAGTCTGGAGAGCAAACACTGTCTATCCCCTCTCCTGCAGGGATGGATTCAGGATCAGTCTGAATGGACTGTCACACTCTCCTGCCATTTACTTTGGAGACATTTTAGCATTTGTGTCCTTCAGCTCTGATTTTAAAAAGCTGCTTCTTCCCAGAGTGTAACAAACCTGAGTGATCTCTCAGCCTTGCCCCTCCGATGATTCCATGTTTTTAAACCTTACCAAGAGGTTCTGTCTCTGCTTGGAATTAGTTGCTGGAAATTGTGTGTGAATCTTCGAGGTTGCTGGCCAGAGCCATGCAAAGCCAGTTGACCCACCTGCAGGTTCCTTCCGAGGTGATGCTGCCACTATGGATTTGCCATTTGTGGGAGCTAAAACGAGTCAATACAATTACACATACAGTCAAAACCTTTTCTTAGCATCACAGTTTCACTGACAGTGGTTTAAAAACTGATTCAAGTGACAAGGTTTTGTTCATGTCTCTGTTTTGTGTCTCTAAAATGGGGGCAACACTCATCCTTTTGGCACGCTCTGAGACAGCAGTCTTAATATTTGTGTTCCTGTTGCACTTCAGAATCAGAGCTCCCAAATCTTTTCTCTGTTTAGAAAACTGTTACATTTCAGACTACTCCTTTTTCGTGTTTATTTATTTATTCCTTTTTTATTTCAATGTAACGCTTTGCCAGAGCGTTTATAAACTGTCAGCATGTTTTTACAATAACAGTTTTCTTAGAGAGGTGGTGAGCAGATGCCAGGTGAGGGCCCATCTGTGTGCTGGTGTTTGTTGAAGTTCTTAGAATTACGGCTCTGGAGTAAAGCAGTCTCTGTGTGGTGGAACTGACATAACTGATGTTGTCACTGACAAGCGCAGTAACATCTGATTTGCTTTAAGTCAGGGCTCTCCTGCTGTTTTAGCAGTGGGTCAGAACCACGCAGCTTTACAGCTGCCTGTGCGTTGGTACCCAGCACTTTTACTGCCATCCTGTTGTACTAAATATTAATTCTCAGTTTCGGTACATAAATTGTTTATCAAAGTGACATTTGTTTTCAATAAAATATGTAGACTGAGAGAATTGCCATTTCTTCTCCAGTGTGCTACAGGTTCCCCATAAAACTCCCTGGTCGTAACTTTTTATGTACCATTCATCAATAAAATACAGCCACCCCTGAGCTAAACGTGACAAATACTGAATGATAGATGAAACTACATGAGTTACAAGAGGCTTCTGAAGCACAGGGAACGCCAGAGGGGCTGTGCTGCTGCGGAAGTGTTGCCGATACTGAAGGGTTGGGTGTGACAAGAGGGACGTCATGGCATCAAGGGAAAAATGCACTTGGGTTTTAGTGGTCAGAGGTGTCTGATCTCTCTGCTTAATGCGTCATTCAAACAATAGTTCTGCAGTATGTGATATCCCCAAGAAAGTGCTACTTTCTGATGTGCATCTCGGTGATCTTTCACCCAAACAACTCCCTCCCACACTCACCCACCACCCCACCACCACCCCCCTTAAAACTCACTGAATGTTTGAGGTATGCTAGAAACGTGTCCAAGGTAGAGTCATAAGTTCACAGAATCATCACCACAGACTTGTTTGAATTGGAAGGGACCTTAAAACTCCTCCAGCTCCAACCCCTGCCCCGGGCAGGGACACCTTCCACTAGAGCAAGTTGCTCCAAGCCCCTGTGTCCAACCTGGCCGTGAACGCCGCCAGGGATGGGGTTTACGTTCTTCTGTTGTTTGGTTTGTTGTGGTGTTTTTGTTTTGTTTTTCTCCATCTTAATGATCCATTTGGAAAAAGAAATTAAATTGTTTCTACGCTCTGTAGTGTTGTTTGTGAAACAGAATTGAAACCTCCATTTTGATTGTCTGAAATCTAGGATCAAGGTCAATTTTACAGTTAACTGAAGCTGTCTGCATCAGATTTTGGCTTCCTGTTCAGTAGTTTCAGGTTTGTGCATGCAGATAAAGAGATGTGAGTTGTTCAAACTTGTAATTTTTGAGATCTGCAAATGACATTTCTACAGGTCTGTTCTTTAGATGAACATTTTTCATTTGTAACTAAGAGTTTGGCTCCGTATCAGTAATTGCACTTTCAAAGCCTTATTTCAGTGAAAGACTAGAACAAAATCGTGAATCTTTACCCATACTGCATTCGAATGCAGTAACTCCAGGAGGTCCTTATCTCCAAGCCCCAGAGCCTTTAGATTGATGATGTACTGGTTTTTCTTAAATGGAAGTACAAACAAGTTGAGGAGTTGGCAGGAACTTCCAAGCCTCCCATGAGCCCCTCAGGCAGACTTGTATCATTTGAGCCTTACAAAACAGTGGCAAATATTCACATGGATGGGTTTTCAATTCTGTTGCGTAACTTGAGTTTACACATCAAACAAAACTGTATGTATCACATTATGCTGTGATAAACATCTCGATGCGTATATGGAATTGCACATATTTGAATCTCAGTATGATCTTAAAAATATATTTAGCCTACTTTTCACCCCTTAAATCCCTTTGATTTTACTTATAAACAAATCATAGAATCCTCGACTGGTTTGGGTTGGAAGGGACCTTAAAGCTCCTCCAGTTCCAACCCCTGCCACGGGCAGGGACACCTTCCACTAGAGCAGGTTGCTCCAAGCCCCTGTGTCCAAGCTGGCCTTGAACACTGCCAGGGAGGGGGCAGCCACAGCTCCTCTGGGCCAAGAGAAAATTCACCCTCGGAAGGGTCATAAGGAAAGTGTAGGTGTTGTTGGGTACAATGTAAATGAAGAAATAGAACAGACAATCATCTTATAAGCACATTATTCAAATTAATGTAACCACAAAATACTTGAGTTCTTTATGGGGATAATAAGACTTTCTTTAGATGCGTGTATCTGCTCAAGCATCTGAGCAACATCACTCTTCCATGCATTTATCCTTGCACCAAACCTGTCTTTTGTATTCCTTTGTAGTTACTATTTACTTAGATGGAGTAGCAAGATCCACGAGCTCATGTCGACACTTTTCAGGCTACTGTGTGTAACTGGGCTGTACATAAGAACCAGTCTAACCCGTTGAGAGGTTTGTCATGCTACATTTTCAGCTAACAGATCCTTGGCATTTATAAACATCTTACCATGAATGCACAAAAAGCTTCCCAGAAATTAGTGGGTTGTTTTGCTGCGTGCTCAGGTAGCTTTGCTGTGGTGGTGAAGGCCACTCGGCATTAGTACCACTGGAGATTCCTCCATAATTGAATTTTCCAAGTATCATCGATGCAGCCTGGGGTGGGAAAGAGAATTAAACTCTGTTCTTCTCAAGTCTCAAGCTGGCAGCCTGGTCATTTGTCCAGGCTACTCCTAAAAATTGAATACTTACTGGATATTCCATTTATATGTCTGTACTCCAGTCATTTATTTGGGGGGGTGGGAATCATCCAATATAGCTGAATAATGTTTATCACATTGGCTATTCTAGGTTAAATATGTCTTACAGGGTTGGGTAGGTCGGGTTATAAGGGCAAGGGAGGGGCAAAAATGCATTTTAAGTTATTTTAAGGCTTTGGAAAATATTTTAGATTTACATTTCTGTGCTTCATTTCTGGGTAGAAATAATACACTTCAGTGGGTTAGTGTGTGGCTGTTCAGGGAGCTCATCGTTTTACATTTCAAAACAAGAAAAATGATTCTTTGATGGCAGTATGTACTAGCTGGCAGTCTTATACATAATATATGTGTTTTTATGCACATACACACACAAAACTCAATTCAAGTTGTTGAAAAGTTTGGCAGCTTAATAAATCTTTGGCTTCAGAGCATCATTTAGTGTCTGGAGGTTGTATAAACCTGTGCTTTTGCAGTATCGTCCAACTGTTTCTGCAGTTTGTGATTCAAAACATGCTGTTGTTGGAACTGGTACTATTACTACATCAGCTCGAGGCCTCTGGTCATGTCACAGGCAAATGAAATAACAGCAAACAGCAGTAACTAATGCACAGAGTGTTCATCAAGTAGCAAATGCCATTTAATTGCTGCCCAGCTTTAGGAAGAAGCTCTTGGCAGTCCTGTGTCTTAGGATTTTGACTCTGTGTGCGTGCTCACCATCTGAGCTCTTATTGTCTTAGATTTGAGGTCAGATCCTTGGTTTCCTTTGTCATTCTGTGCCATACAGATTTTCTGAATTGGTGTTATTTGAATAGAAAGAAAATATCAAGTGATTCCAGTTTTATAACCAATGTTTCATGAGTTCTCTTATTCCCAGAATTTTTTCTGAACATTCTTTTGGAACTCATTCTGTGGACTCTGTATCATCTGTTTTTCAGAACAGCAGCATCTTGTTTACTGGCTTTTTTATTCTTTTATAGACTTTGCTGAACTGAGTGACTCACAGCAGTGTTGAAAATCATCACATGCTTTTACCATCAACATGCATCCCACACAGCATGTATGTGTACATCCCGTGTATGTTACATGGGCTTTCATGGAGCTCAGGCTTACAGCTAGTGCTCCGCTCACTCCTGGTTACAAAAGCAGAGGAGTATTAGATACTTACAAAACAAGAAGGTGATTCAGATCAGACTGGATTTAGTCACTGCGCAGGATCACTTCAGAAGTGATAAATTGCCGTTAGCTGTTTAAATCTCAATTTATGTGAGTGGGAATAAAAGCAAAAGCTTTGAACTGCTGCGATGGGCCAGTGTCACCCAGTACTCACCGGCCACAACTCCAGCTCTGCCTCCTGAGCTGTTGTGGAGTCAGGCAGCTTCCCTGGATTGCCAGCCCTGATTGTTACCAGAGCTTTACGTGAAGGCTCCCCCAGGTCAGTATGGTTCTGTAGGTAGGTTCTGCTAGGAAGAAATCATGTCTCATGTCATCACTGACTATAATACTGCTTTTAATCAGCTAAGCGTAGTATCTAGTTGAAGTATCTGGTTTATGTGTGGGTAAATTAATTGGTAACCTTGCTAAATGTCCTCTGCAGGGAGGGTGCCAGAGCAGCCAGAAGGAAGCACAGAGCCCCAGACCCTGCTCTCGGCCAGGTCTTTGGTCCATGCCTTTGTGCAGGTCCTCAGCTGGTGGCAGCTGAGATCACGGGTGCACTCTGGCCAGGAGATCCGTGAGGGGAATGTCTGGGACCTCTTCCCAGAGCATTCGCCAGCATTAAGGACTATGCAGTGAATCAGCTTCCCTCTTGCCCTAACACAGCCTGGGTGCGCTGCCCGCCGGGGCATGGTGCAGAGCTCCATGTGCCCTCGCACCAGCGGAAGGGAGGGGGCTGTGCTGTGCTCTGGGGTTTGGAGAGCTGCCATGTGCAGAGCCTTGGTATTGCCAAAAATCCGTGTCTGCAGATAGATTCTCAGGCTCGCGGATGTGATTGCATTTACAGCACAGAGAAAGAAATGACAGGCTGACCCATTTCATAATGTTTATTTTAACCTTCTGCCCAGAAATGGTAATAGTTTTACATGAGGAAAACTGCTGAGCCCTGTCACAGAATGTGTTTAAATTACTCAATTTGAAATATGTCAGATGCCCTTTGATACAGCCCAGAGGGGTTAGGAGAAAACTTGCCAAATGGCCAAATAGTGGCTTTGTGTCAAGTGCCCTGAGAAACATCCCACAACTGGACATCTTACGCTTACTCCTGTGTCGTGCAACTTAACTTCATGTGCACTTTGAGTTCTCACTGTTACTTCTTGACTGTTGAAGTCCAACGTCATGCCAGTGTTTGTAGGCTGGTGTATGTGGTATGTGTGTTGGTGTACATCACCTGTATAGCTCTTGGTACTGTTTGGGTATGAGGCTGTGCCACGTATAGTCCTGTTACATCCAGAAGGAATTGCCCAAAAGCATGCATTTGGGAACGGTGGGGTTTAGACTTGTTCTTCATTGGGGTTTAGTACAGTTTTGATAGCTTGTAGTTCTCTCTGACTTTCAAAGCCCATCTGAATTCCTGTTATTCTTAGGTGACGTTCTTGATTTCACACAGGGTTTCTTAGGATGCTTGTGAGGGCACATCATATGTTGCTTTTGCAGGACTAAGGAAGGAAGAACTGGAAAATGGGAGCAGTGTGGAACTGGTGCAGTTTCACACCCAAATCTTACTCTTTGCTTACACTGGGATTCAGTTTTGTCTGTGTAATTGTTTAGATTGTAATACTGAATAGGTGATGTCTTAGAAGAGGTGACAGCTCATTAACAAAGATTTTCCTTTGATTGTTGATACATCTTCCCGTTTGTGGATAGGAACCATACTGCAGTACAAAGGTAGTGACCTGTAATTGCAATACAAGGCATTGCTTTAAGACTGTAAAGGATGTGAGAAGTAGAAAGTCACTTGAAAAACTGAGAAGTTGTGGAAAGTTGATGTCATCACTAGTGAGCAAATATGTGTTAAATCTAGGTGGGCTTCTCAAAAGTTCTGAAGCAACAAGAATAATCTTATCTCCAGTATGAGATTGTCCATTATCTCGTACAGTATCTCCGTCATGCTTCTTTACACAGATTAAATACTTGGGGACTGCCAAACCTCAAGAACTTCGTCAGGTAGTGACCAAACTGGATTTTTAAGTGAAGTTTGCACTGAACTGTTGTGTTGGCTGTTGATAACAGAGCTTACTGAGCAGTCCTTGGTAAAGACAGGCTTCCTTTGTGGCACTGGGATTTCATACGTCATGCTTCCCTCACACTGCAGTTCTAGGCCAGTGTTTGTATGTGGTGACCAAGGCAATCACCCTGAATGTGTTCACTAGGTTAAAAACCAGCATAATTCTGCTGTGAGACAGGTCACGTACTGCCTTATCATTTGCCTCTACAACCCCTGCTGCTCTTGAATGAAGCGTGGAAGAACTTGGATGTAGAACTTTTCAGATACCTAGACATAAAACTAATTCTTATGCTTTTATTTCTCAGGCAGAGAATGAATCTACCATGTATGTATGAACAGTGCAAACATATGCTCATGGTTGCCCGAGAGCTGTCACGGCTTCAAGTCTCATACGAAGAGTATCTCTGCATGAAAACGTTGCTTCTCCTCTCTACAAGTAAGTGAATAGTTAAATACCTATGGGAGCAATGTAAGTTTAACCTGCCAGTGCTCTGCGTGCACATATGTAGTTTAAAGTGGTGTTAAGTATCTGTTACCAAATAAAAGTCAAAATGTGCATCTTGGCACCTGACTGTGTAGGGTAAGTAAAGGAAGTTCTGCTCTTAGCAGATACCAGACATTCATGCTAAGATATTGTGGATTGTGATCAAAGCTCCAACAGAGGGGCCTAACTCAGAATTGCTATTTAAAATTCTTCAGAAAGTATTTAAATCACAGACTGGCCAAGTAGTTCAGCAGAGTTACTGCTGCATGTGGAAAAGTAAATGTTTTTCAAAGTTTGAACAGTTCAGTACACTGAGGGTTCAAACATTCCCTATCTTTTGTATTTCCACTGAATAATAGCATTAGTTCTTACAAATAGATGAGGACAGATGAAGCCAGGTTGGACACAGGGGCTTGGAGCAACCTGCTCTAGTGGAAGGTGTCCCTGCCCGGGGCAGGGGGTTGGAACTGGAGGAGCCTTAAAGTCCCTTCCAACACAAACCATCCCATGATTCTATGACAATGTGGTAGCGTTGTCCTTTTCCCAGTGGAAGCAGGAGGCTCCTGCAGCCCAGCGTGGTGGGCCCAGCTCAGTGCTGCCGTGACCAGTTCCTTCCCGTGCCATCCCCTCGTTGCCCTGGCAGGGCTGGCACATCCTTGCCTGCCAAGCCCAGAACTGGGACAAGGGCTCCTTTCAGATGGAACTCTTGGCTCCGCGCTGCTGTGGGCTTTGTAGGAACTTGAAACTTCCCCGAAACTGCAGATTTAAAGCAGTTTCTGAAATCTCTCCCAAAAATTCCTCAAGTGTTTGGATGTGGTGTAGGCCAACTTTCCTTACAGCAATTGGAAATTTCCTTAAAGGAATTTCCATGGCAGGAATGGTGAAGAGGCAGCACTCGTACAGTTAAGCCCATTCACAAGTGAAGAGTGGCAGCCCTGGTGTTAACCAGCAGAAGGCCTCTTTGTTATGTTTGCAGTGGAAGACAATACGTTTCCACATTTCTTTCTGAGTACATACATTGTGTGAGTGGAATGTTGTGGAACCTCTGAAAACTGAGTAGCTGAAATTTGTACAGCTTTTTAATCCATGACTTCACAATCTTAATTTATGTTTATTGTGTTTCTGTGTTAAGTTTTCCAAGAGAAGAGAGAGGAGGAGTAAAACAGGAATCCCACAAGGTCTAGGCACCGCTCACATGTAGACGTAGCACAAAGACCTTTTCATTTAAATCACTGAAGCAACAGTTCGTGTTGTCTTCTCCTGTGTAGACAAGGCAGACAAAATACTTCCACATCTCACAGATGCTGACAGCGTAGTGAGGGTTGGATTTTGTAAGGAAGGGAGTGTGGTTTAGAGGCCTCTTTCCTCCTGTCTTGCTTTCAGTCAGCTTTGTCTCAGCTCTGTATCTTCAGCTTTTTCCATCCACTTCACCAAGGAAACCAAACACTTCAAATCAAGCATCTTAAGGACCATGGGAGTTCATATGCTTGATTTATCCTCATCTGTTTACTAGTCCTTGGCCTTTAGAAGGACCATCCCAGTAGGAGAACATAGGTACAGGGACTTAACATGGATTTCAGTCTGAATACGCGCCTCAGTCCCCACGCTTTGGGTTCCTAACCCACAGCTCCTCATCTGTCTGGTGCTGTCACAGTGTCCCATCCCTATTCCAAGAAGCTCTGCCCGAGGCCCGAGTCCTCCCTGGCTTGGGCAGCCAGGTTGTTGTCCAGTCTCTCTGTTACTGCCTTGCCTGGACGCGTTACTTGATCCACGTCAGGAGGTCTGGAACCAGATGATCTTTCAAGATCCGTTCTGAGCCAAGCCATCCCATGATCCTGCCCGTGATCCTGCCCCTGCTCCTCCCTCTGCATGCGGAGTTTTGATGGAATCTGCCTAATGTCACGTTTCCCCAGACATTGAGAACACGGGAGCTCCAGCCCTGGTGGGTCTTCATGAAAGCACTTCCAGAGCCCAGTGCTATTGCTTCCATGGTCCAGTTCTCTTCCTTCTGTTTCTTGTTGGGTTACCTTTGGGATGTCTATTTTCACTTCCAGCAGCGCGATGCCATTGGTTCAACTGCTCATCCGTCCATCTCGGTTTCCACACGCTTTCCTTGTCTTTCATCTGTCCTTGCTTTAAGCCATTTTTGTGTAACTGATGTAAGAGAAGTTAAATCATGGCACAGTTCGTAGATGTATAATGTCTTAAAGGTTTGTATCAATGTTTCAGTTCCTAAGGAAGGCCTGAAGAGTCAATCTTTATTTGAAGAAATCCGTATGACATACATTAAGGAGCTGGGAAAGGCCATAGTGAAGAGAGAAGGGAATTCGAGCCAGAACTGGCAGCGGTTCTATCAACTGACTAAACTGCTGGACTCTATGCATGATGTAAGTTGTGAAATGAACGCTGCAGACCTTCCAGATGGTTGAGTTTGGGGATATGACAATAATCTCCTCTATCCTTCCTTTATTTAAAGGGATAAGCCTCAGGAGGTCAGGGAGGAGACAGTCGTGCTCCCCTACCCCAACTAAAGGTTCTTTGGAGGAGCTGAACGTGGTACTTTCAGTCTACTTTTGCAGTGGACTCAACAGCAATTAATTTTGTCATTGATATAATTTTCTGTATTTTCATTTTTTCAATCTTTAAATTTTAAAAGCTTTAGTTTTTAAAAATTATGTGGCTTTCGAATGGAGGAACTGGGAAGTTGTCAGTGATTTTTCAGCAGCAGCAGAGATGGGGAGTTTAAAAACAGAATTATCTCAGAGACCAACTATTCAAGAATCTATGGAATTGCTTGAAACTGCATTAAAATAATGCATCAGTGCTATTTTTAGCCGAGTAGCAGTCTAATTTTGCAAGGAATTTCAGAATTCAGGCTGCCTCCTTTTGTGGCATGTACTCTAAAATGTGCAGATGGTACAAAATAGTGTTGGAGCTGGATAAGGCAAAGGAAACTTTGAGATCCCAACATTATTTTGTCTTTCTTGTTGCTTTACCAAGCACCTGGAAAGATCTTCTTGAGCTTGTCCATAGGTTCTTTATGTGCTGGAATGTGAACAAGATGAAACCTTTTCAGGATTTGTAAAGACCTTGCACGAGCTGTTGTTTTCTATTAGAACACCAATTACAGGGCTTGCTAATTAAACTGAGGGTAATTAGCACCCAGGCGGGTGCTGGCCTGGGCCTTGCTGCGGAGGCAGAGGAGGGGAGGGAGGAAGGATGTGGGTTAATAGTTCTTCTGTACATATTCGTATGAAAGTAATTCTTTGCTTTATCACTTGTAGGTGGTTGAAAATCTTCTGAGCTTTTGCTTCCAGACATTTTTGGATAAATCCATGAGTATTGAGTTCCCAGAAATGTTGGCAGAAATCATCAGCAATCAGATACCAAAATATTCAAATGGAAATATCAAGAAGCTCTTATTTCATCAGAAGTGACTGCCTTAATACAAAAGGGTTGCCTTAAGAAAACGTCAAATGATAGCTTTTTTTTTTGTAAAGAAAAAACCCTACAGACCTTGTTGGTTGTGTCCTTGCAGCGGTGTTTCTTTTGTAATTATGCACTACATGTGGTTTACAGAGGGCCAAGAGTTAGGCTGGAGGAGCGGCGGATTGCTCACATTGGGAAAGGAGTGGGGAGAAGGGCAAGGAAAAGGAATGGTGTTGGTCAGAAATTCTCTCTCTCCCCTCATGCAACATCCCTGGATGCGTCGGAGCCAGCAGGGCCAGGCTGGGTGCTCCGGACACTGTGCTGGTGGATGAGTTGCTGCAGTTGGCTGAGACAATTTTCTAGGCTTTTTTTTTTTTTTTTTTTTGGGTTTTTTTTTTTAGTCAAGTGTTTTGGATTTATTTTTTAAGGTAGCGTTTGGTTCCTGCATGTGTAACCTGAGGAACGTTTACAAGTGTATATCGGAAAAGGGAAGTTGTGCCTTTTATAGCTATTACTGTCTGGTTTTAGCCATTTCCTTTAACTTTCTATACCGTGAACTCGGCTTGTTCATTTTTTCTTACCTGATTTTTTTGTAATACTTCAAGATGCCTATTGTACAGCTGGTTTTATAAGGTGGGGCAGCTCGTAGCTTTCCTAAATGACCTCTAGACGTTAATCCTCGAGTAGATTCACGTGATGAAAATGGGTTGGCCTTTTCTAACCTAAGAGCTTTCAACTGTCCAAGTGACCATCAAGATTTGGCATTTTTTAAGGGCCAGGGTGGGTGGGAGAACTCTCAAGTCTAATTCAATAGATGTGAAAGAAACAACTACTTTTGGCACAGGTGCAAAAGTGTTGGATATGCAGATTCATAGAAGATTAACCCAGTCCTAAACTGGATGTAAATGAGCAGGTTATTTTATATATTGAAGAAAAAAAAAAAAGCCTGATTTTTGCATATGATGCAACAGCCATAACTGAGAGTCACGGGCTGCACTGATGCCAAGAAGCTCAGTCCTGACTGCCCATCAGGAAATTTTCAGGAAAATATGCATAGCTTAAAGAAAAGTTTACTTCTGTGTGGAGAAACTCACATTTTCTATACACTGAGATCTGTCATCACACAAGTATATCTGGAGAAACGCCACTGACATAGAGGCAGACGTGTAATTATGCCCAGTGGTTTGGTTTTGTTCTGTTCTCTTGTGTCGGTTCTAGAGCTCTCTCCGTGGGGCGGGAGGAGGGAAGAGCAGCCGGAGCAGCAGAGCTTCGAGCCCCATTCCCACATCTCCACGGCCACTGCTGGGCCCATCCTCTTCCCTGGAGAGCAGGAAAGCTCCGCTACTGATCTCGTGGTCTTAGAGTCGTACGTCAAACCGTCTGTGTTTGTAAGGCTGCATCCCTTCACCCCAATGACTAGCGTGCCATAAAACTCCCCTGGGTCTTGTGAATTTCTCCTTGTTGCCATTGATACCGATATTTTAAACCGTTTAGAAGCTGTAGTAGCCTTTTCTACGTGCACCTTAACAATTTTCTGTATCTCAAAATTGAAATCTTTCCTAAGCCACTCTAAAATCCGATTTTTACGCAAAGTGGCCAGATTATTTGTGTAATAGAAACGAGAAAGATCATCTGATAAAATACAAAACCTAATATATTTTTATATTTAGTTATAGTTTCAAATATGTATAATCGGTATATTCGCTGATCCGAGAAAAGAAGGGAAGGGCTACTGCAGCTTTAAAAGCAATTTATTAAATGATTGTAAAATAGCTTGTATAGTGTATCATAAGGATGATTTTTAGATGACAGATTGCTTTATCATGATACATGTAATTATATTTTTTGTAGGGGTCACAAATATGCTGAATGGTAACCCATCCCCGCTGGGGTTTGTCTGGAGGTAGTGCTGAAGGCGTCGGGGTTTAGTATCCAAAGAAGTACTCTGTCTAGAATGGAAAACCTGTGTTCAGTGGGTGTGTTTAGGGTTGAGTTTTTTATGTTTTATCAAATCACTGTGTACAAATCCCAGTTGGAGCTTGGATGGAATACTCCTATCTGTATGGTTAGTTACCATTCGCCAGGCGTTGCTAAATCCGACCTCCGCTGCAGGCAATGTAACGGGGAAAGATGCGTGTGAGCACCCACACCTACACCTCTGAGCAGACGGGGGTAGTTTCACATACAGCCTCACCTACCGCAGCAGAAACAGCTTGACAAATTGGGCAATAATACACATACAGGTACCAGCAATATGTAAATACGGAGCATAGGTTGTTCACCATACACTAGCACGTTTCTGTTGTTCAGCAGAAGGTGGTTTCCAAGCAAACTAGGAAACTAAATTTTCATGCTTTCTTAAAGCTCTTTTTGAATGTTATACCTATTAAGAAAAGATCCTATATTCAGTACTTTGGAGTAAAATATCATCTTTAATAAAAAAGAAAAGTAACAACTCTCTTCTCTTTGATCTGTAAAGGACACGTGCATTTTGTAACAGGGAAGGGCAGGTTCAAGTATTTCAGTCACAACTTTCACCCCAATTTCGTGCAACTATTCACACAACCCGTTTGAGATACAGATAGGAGTTCCGTGCTGCTTCCGGGGGGCTCTTCAGCTAAAGCAGAACTGGGGTTACTTTGGAGAATGGTTTTAAAATTGCATCCCCAGGAACCTTGGTTTGAGCTTGTGTGGAAGAGTCTGGTGGTGTGAGCGGGTGTGCAGTGGGTGTGCATGTGGGTGTGCAAATGTCTGTGCATCCGTATACACAAATAGAAAACTTCTTTTTTTGCCAGCAGAAAAGTAACTGGAGTGAACATGAACAAATGATCCCCACCTTGAGAGAACCGGTAACGTAGGAGAAGAGAGGCTCTACCCCCTCCTAGTCTGTATCCCTGTATATTCCTTTTTAGTTTAGGGATTTAAGGAAAAAAACAAAAAGGAAACTGTGATGTTAGAAGAAAGCAATCGTCCTGTACGTGCTGTTAGGTTTTAAACTTCACCATTAGAAGTCTGTAGTGCTTTAGTAAGCAGTGAGAAGTCCGTGTCCTGTGTATCCGTAGTCCTTGTAGCAGTGGGTAGTATCTGCACTCTGGATAAAGCAGGGAGAATTCTGACTTCGTCTCTTCAGTGCCTTATCACAAAGTGCATCGACCGAGGGGCGGCCGCCGGCAGCCCGGGCGCGGAGCTCGTGCACGAGCAGCGCCAGGAATGGCCTTAGCGGGAGGAGCGGGAGCTCCAGGAATGGCCTTAGCAGGAGCAGCAGGAGCGGGGCCAGGGGCTGGGGATGGAGCTGGGAAATGACCTCGCCATTTCACAGACAAGGGTAGAAAACAGGAGGAGGAAAGTGCCTGGATGAACATCAGCTAAATCCTGTTTCCCGTAGTCGAACTTCAGCGAGTGAGGACTGGAGGGTCACACCTTCGCGTGAGGGGTTCAGAGGTTGTACTTAGAGTAGTTACGCTCTATCCTTAGTCCAGTCTGCAACCGAGTGTTGCTGAGCCATTGATGCCACATAGGAACCAAATTTTCAGGAAAGGATTGGGGCCTCCGAGGCAGCGGGAGGCTCCGGGGTGCTGATGAAAGGCTGTGTGTATGGAAATACCCCACCTCCCAACTAACGTGCATAACAGCATAGAGTCAGCGATGTGTCATTATTCTATTTTGTATATTAAACAAGAGATATATACTGGGGACAAATCCTATATCGTACCGGTGTATGGCATTATTAAAAAAGAATCATTATTTTTATCACAGTAATTTTAAAACAGCATAAAGGAAAATAAACCAGTGACTCCTGTTTAAAAATAAAAGTTGTAGTTTTTTATTCATGCTGAATAATTCTGTAGTAACAAGTCTGTAGTTTTCACCTACTCAGTGAACTGTTGGACTGTAAAAGCTTGTGTGGAATTGTTGAACATTTATTTTTTCATTTAAATTTGCTGTTCTGGTAATACAAAGCCACACATCTGTACAGAAGTTGCAGTAAATGTGAGCCATTTACAGCAATGCCGAATAATGGACAGAAACCATATAATAAAATTCTGCTTTTTTCATTAAATGGCTCCAAAATGCTTTTGTGGAGTGTTTGCTGTGTACCTGGAAGGGATTGGTTCTGACAACCGAGCCAGCTTGTCCGTCTGTTCTCATCACTCACCTCGTCTGCAGAAATCACTGATGCTAAAGCTAATGGCCGGTGTCGTGACGTTCTGCAGGGGGAGAATGTCTGATAATGAAGTTCAGGTTAACAGTTTTCCATGGCATTCTTAGCATCCATTTTTGGGGAGGGGGCGGGGGGGGAGGAATTGGTGCCCCACTTTCTGAGAGAAACAGCTTAAAATGGCATTAGGGGGAAAAAAACAGAATTGATTTAAAACGCGTTACTAAAATGGTTCTTGCCCCTTTCACACTTGTCGGATATGCAGAACCCCAGCCTGGTTTGGGGTGGAAGGGACCTTGAAGCTCATCAGTGCAGGGACACTTGCCACTAGACCGGGTGGCTCCAAGCCCCATCCAGCCTGGCCTTGAGCACTGGTTTTAAAAGCCTTGGTCTTCCAGCTCCTAAATTTACGCATTTTGGGGTCTCACTTGTGCCACTTTTCCCACGCTTACACCCTCGAGTCCTGGGGCTTTTCTACCACCAGGGGCTGAAGCAGTCGTCTCGGAAGGCAAATGCCACCTCCAGCCTGCAAGGAAAGCCCCCAAGGGCAGAACTGCCCATGTGAGGGCACGTACCAGATGCTGAAAGTTAGTGCTAGGAGGAGAATAAAACCCCATACAAAGCACTGGGTGCTGGCGTCAGATCTTCATGATGCCCATCTGTCTTCATACCTGTTTAGGCACAACTTGTGCTCATGGTGTGGGCTAGAACTGCATCCTGTGACAAACGGGGAGCAGCTCTCCTGCCCGCGCTGGGCCCCTTTCCTGGCTGCAGGCACATGCAGCTCCTGGAGCCTCCCAGGGGGCTGCGGTCACTGGGCGGCTCTTGGCCTGTGCTGGGCTCTCATCAGCCTTTAAACCCTCTCGTCGGAGATGGGGTGCTTCGGGTGTGTGTTTGCTCAGGGCGTGGGGGCTTTTGTGGCTTCCCAAAAGCAGAATTAACCCAAACTTGTGAAAAATCATTCCCTGAATCAGCAACGCTGGAAGCGCCTCTGTGGGGCTGGGGACGGTGGGTGCAGATGCTGCGGTTGGTGTTCAGAACGTCTCACAGCCCTGGAACAAAACCCGCTGCTGTAAAGTTCCTTCCCTGCCATTGGAGTTCTCTAAAAGCAACTTATCTTCAAACATCAGTAAATAAAACTGCTGGTTCTTTTAACCGAACACGGCTCATGCCTTTGCCCCATTGTACAGCAGCGTGAGAGTCGTGCCATAATAAAATCTCATTTAGCAGCAGCTCCAAATGGCAGCTTCCAGCAGGGAGGGATTTCTTTGAATTGTTTGCAATGAAACCAAAGGCTTACATAAAGTCCACTTTGGGAATTTCCAAGCTTGATG